AAGGAGGTGAGTGTGTGTGGTGTTGGTGTTGTATCTTGCGTGTTTGTTGTAGGTGCAGCAAATTGAGCACTGATTTTTGCAGTTTTGGTGCAGAAGAATGTAGCAAAGTCATCAGTAGTAAGTGTGGAGGATGCGGGTGGAGGAGGAGGATAGAGGAGGGAGGAAAATGTTTTAAAAAGTAGGCGAGGATTAGTGGCATTGTTGATTTTCAGACGGTAATACGTCTGCTTTGCAGAAGTAACCTCAGCTGAGAAAGAGGACAGAAGAGTTTGGTATGTTAAGAGGTGTGCAGGATTTTTAGTTTTCCGCCAAATTCTCTCTGCAGCCCGAAGTTTTGAGCGATGCTCACGGAGAGCATCCGAGAGCCAGGGTGCAGGAGGACTGCCACGGGCTGGCCTGGATGCAAGAGGACATAATCGGTCTAGACATGATGCTAGTGTGGAGCAGAGTGTATTAGTGGCACTGTTCGAATCAAGTGCAGTGAGTTTGCGAGATGGAGGAAGAGAGTCTGAAACAATGGTGGATAGTCTATTGGGTGAGAGAGATCGTAGGTTTTACCTGATTTGTGGGTAGCAGAAGTAGGTGCTCTTTTTAGGTCAAAAGAGGCAAGCAGAGTCTGAAAGTCTGCAGCTTGCGGTTTGTCAACGTAAATGTTGAAGTCACCTAGCACCAATAAGGGAGTGGCAAAATTAGAAAAAGATGAGAGAAGAACATCCAGTTCATCTAGGAAGTGACCTAATTTACCTGGTGGGCGGTAGATGACAACCACATTTATGTAGAAGGGGTGGATAATGGTGACTGCATGGAATTCAAAGGAGCTGATTGTTGGCAGGGACGGTATCAGAGTAAATTTCCATTCTTTGGAAATTAGTAGTCCAGTCCCACCCCCTCTCCCTGTCTGACGAGGAGTGTGGGAAAAAGAGAAATTAGCAGAAAGAGTAGCATGTGTAGCAGTGTCCTCCGGCCTCAACCAGGTCTCAGTTAGAGCCATGAGATTATAGTCAGAATATGTAGCTATGGAGGTAATAAAATCAGCCTTGTTAACAGCTGATTGACAATTCCAGAGGCCCACGGAGAGAGAGAGTTGTGAAATAGTAGATACATGTATTGAACGAAGGTTGTGAGGATTACGCCTGCAGCGTACCTCCCGTGTTTTGCGAGTGTTAGTAACAACAGGAATTAGAAAACACATAATAAAAGTGCACTGACAACAAAAAAAATAAGTGTAAAGTAAAACAACAAAGTAAAGTACTCAAGTGCTTTGTCGGTGTCTTTGCTCGGTGGAGTCGCGCAGGTAGAGTCGATGGTCTTTACCCTCGTCGGTCTTCACACGAGGCGGTCTTCACACGAGGCGGTCTTCACACGAGGCTGCCGCCTCGTGTTTGTGACAACAGTTTAAATATGCCTCTTATATAGACTGATTTCACGCGGCGACCATTTTCAAAAGCGAAATCGAGGCTTGAGGAATCGAGGAATGTTGTGGTTCTGTCCATATATCTTATCAGTGAAGAGAAAGTGACACAAATTGATAATTTCACCAACTTCCAGGTGACCCAAAGGTCCATTCTGAGTGAATAGTGAATATAAAAAGGGATAGCAGAGCTCATTTTCAGCTAAGTTAAGGGAAATGGCACTAGTTAGCTAACGTTTTCTTTCCCAAACACACGTTTTAGATGCCATTTATCAAACTCGAGTTAATGTACTGATTCTTTCATTATATTAGACTCTTCACGATACTGAATTAAAAGAAACAACTTCAATTATCCATTAACATTTAAGGCATTGTTGATGGCTTTCATAAAACAGCGCTGATTTGCCATTGTGTTCACGTGTTCAACAGAAATGATTGTGATTGGTCGAGAAGGTCATCAGTTCAACATCCGCTGTTTACCGAACACAAACACAGACAGATGAGCGATCCGCTTGATGACTCGACTGATCTTCAGGGCTGCTTCGCGCTCCAGTCTCCGTGTATCTGTGTTTGCACTGGGTGAAGAGCAGTAAACTGAGTGCAAACCAAACACAGATACACGAAGACTGGAGCGTGAAGCAGCCGTGAAGATCAGTCGAGTCATCCGCGCTCAGCAGCACTTCCACGTTAGCGGGAAATAGCCGGGTTTAAAACTCCAGTACCGGGACAACACTATTACAGACAACACGAGGGTGTGCTGCAGAGGACTGCAGTGTTTTATCGCTCACCGGGTTACATAGGCTGAAGCAGGAAAGCATCCTCACAGTGTTTGACTGGTGCCATGAACTGAAGCCTAGGAGGACACTTAAGCGTATCACAGAGATTGTGATGTTGTTTGATGCTAAATTGCTTTTAATTGGTTAAAATAAACTTACTGAATAATATTAAAGTGATGTTTACACCATTTCTGCATTTTGAAATCTCGGCAACAGCTGGAGGTTTGTAGTACACAGCATGTTACTGCAATGTTTACAGTGCTGGTCCTATACTTCCGGGTTTCCTCCCACCGCAGCCTCGCTTTAGTTCTTTAAAATGGCTGCCGCGTGAAATAAGCATATGGAGGATGAAGTCATATGCATTGCTCAGTTGTGATTTTTCCACAGACTTCAGAGTGTAAAAATCTTGATTCTGTGGGTCTCGTCTACCAAATCTGACCTTTATGTTGTATTCTCAATTGTATTCGAGTTAGGTGATCGGCTGGGCCACTCTACAGCTTGATTTTTTTTTTTTCTCTGAAAGCATTTGAGAGTTTCCTTTGCTGTCTTTTGGATCATTGTCTTGCTGAAATGCCCAACCTGGTTTCATCTTCATCATCCTGCTAATGTAGATGTTGAACTGAAGCCGCTAATATATTTATTTAAATTGAGGAAGGGTAGACGGTTGCTAAAGAGCTAAAGAGAGATTTCAGCTGCTGTCTGGGCTTTCACTACCTTTCTACACCTCCCTTTCTATATGCGTTTAATACTTTTTCCCTGCATCATTTAAATTTTTTACACATAACTTCATTTGTAAACTACTTGGATTTGTTTCCTTTGCATTTATGGACTTTTTTAGGATGTTTCTAACATCCAGTGAAAATTTAGTCAACGGCATCTTTAGAAACATGTTTTCTCAGAAAAATGGTGATATGTTCAACACTTTCTTTCCCTGCTGTATCCTTAAAACTAACATACGAACATTTACAAGACTGTTTATTTTATTTTCACAGGACATTTAGGCACAGTTTAAACATATATTAAGGCCCAATCCCAATTCTTCCGCATGTCTGGTATAACGTTATTGTTGTTTTCTTTGTGTTTAAATAGATGAATATAGCCACGGTGTAAATACACAATAAATTTACAAGGTTATTGCCACATTATATCATTATAATAACATTATATTGTTGCTTTCTGCAATTTCCAGAAGATAAATACCCAAAAAAATAGCTGTAAGTCATGAAACTGGAATAACTACGACAGGCACTAATCTCATATGAAGTAAGATCTTACGATGAGACGATGTTCTGTGCTGGTGTTGTAGTGGTGTCCCATTTCTTAGGGGTAATTTTTAACCCCTTCCCTTTCACACTCTGTTTCAAGGACCAAGGCAGTGGCGTAGCATACGGGCCCGCAGGGCATGCACCGCGGGGGGGCCCCGCGAGATTAGGGGGCCCCACGTCGTCGCGATTTTCAATAATTGAAAATCCAGGAACCGCAATAATCAAACTCTTGGGAACAAGTGTGGACGGAACCAAAGTTCACAGGTCTGTGTTCTCTGAACACCTTTCAAGCGGTGGACTACTTCATTCTGATTGCTTGCCGCCGAACTGCGTCATAGCCAATGAAGACGCGCCGCTGTTTCTCGCAGCCGGTTCTCGTTAAAAAATAAATGACTTCTGGCTACTTTGACGCTCTCGCCACTTTCGGTTTGTGCTCGCTCCTCAGTTTGTGAAGGATTTCCCGCGTTGTCGCTCCACTCCGCCTCCTTTCCCCGCACCTCAATTTGTGACATAGATATATACACTAGATATCGCATAGGGACCCTGAGCATGCGTCAATAGCGCCGCCACATTGGTACAGTGCTCCCAGGGCAAATGTCATTCAACCGCACTAGACAAGTATTATTACTTGAAGATGCGGGACTGTAGCGCTGTCTACAAGTGTAGTAACGAGCAAACAAAGAAAACAAAGAAAACAAAGCACAAAGGCAGAACATTCAGAACATTCAATAGGTAGGATTAAGTTTTTTACGTTTTTGTATGTTCTGAAATTTGTGCTAAACAGCGTTATTGATGATAATACAGCCACTTACTGCATTCAGCATAAGGCAAAGTAGCTCCAATTCGCACTAAATATTCGGCTTATGCTAGTTTTGTTGAATAAAATCAGCAAACAATGAAAAAGAAATATGACAACGAGATGCTGCGCTGCCAGAAACTTGTATTAATGTCGGCTAGTGAACGAGTCGTTCATAAAGGAGATTCATTCACAAACAAATCGCTCCCTCCGTCAGTATGAGCAGTGAAAGCAGGAGAGGAGCTGTGTTTCAGGACATGATTAGATCAAATTTAACAGGGAGGGTGAATAGTACATTTCTGTACACACAAACACAAGCTTTTTGTCAGGAATGCCCGTGCGGTCACTGATCCATCAATGTAGAAAAGTGTTGTAAAATTATAATTTTCATAATTGAAAAAAAATAAAAATACTAACATCCAGGAAAACTCCCGATAGATATATATATCATAGATATATGTGTATATGTGTATAACTCTGGCTCTGCCGCCCCCAAACCCCCCCGACCCCCTTGAAAACTGGGGGCCCCATCGGTGATCCCTGCAGGGGGGCCTCCGCATTTTGCGCTACGCCACTGGACCAAGGGGAAGAGGTAGGGGTAAAAAATAAAACTGGGATTGGGCCTAAGACATGGTAACACAAAACACCCATAAAAACATAGATTTAAACATGGAGCAACGCTTGCTTTGGACGTGGTTCTGAAGTAATGATATAACAGCAGTCACACTGAGATGATTCTGACATGTACTCACCGATGACCAGCAGGCTAAAGAAAATGGTCATCCCGCTGGACTGCTCCTCTTCCTGGGCCTTGACCCCTGTCTGGACAGGCAGGATGGGCTCATTTTTAGGAGGCTCGGGCGTCGCAGGCTTGGGCGCAGGTGTGGTGGTTTGAGCAGTGTCATTGCTGGAGGTGTCAGTCTCATTTAACCTGTCAGAAAAATAGGTTTTAACTACATTATCCATGCACAGTAAAATATGAGGTTATCCCAGATGAAACAAAATTACAGTAATTATACTAATATAATTAGACCATACTATAGTAAAATACTTGAAATAATCTGTTGTGGTAATTCTGTAGGTGCTATGGTAATACGACATCTATAGACTATAGTATAGGGCTGTACAATATATCGTTTCAGCATGTGCACATCCACAATAGTCACATTATAAAGATATGCAATGTTTGGTCTGAATTATAGTTGACCAGGAGCCACAGAATTGTATTTAATCACTGTATTTATATAGAATTTATATGATTTATGCAAACAAAAAGAAAAAAACATTCCTTACTTAGAATTTTGAATTTTCATCTTTTTTCTAATCCAAATATGTACATTTCAAAGTGAAAACAAGATTGCAAGTGGGGTACTTGCAGATGATTTGCTTAAAATAAGAAAAAAAAAACTCAAAAGATTTTTACTTATTTCTTTCTGAAAGTGAAAACAAAACAATATTTTTACTTGCTTTTATTCCAAATATCAAAAAAATTCTTAGACCAAGTAAAAATATTGTTTTGTTTTCACCATCAGAAAAAAATTCGTGAAAATTAAGAGTTTTTTTTCTTATTTAAAGCAAATTATCTGCAATTACCCCACTTGCAATAATCTTGTTTTCACTTTGAAATGTACATATTTAGACTAAAAAAAAGACAAAACTAAATAAGAAAAGCATTTTTTGCAGTTTGATTATTTAATTGCTGTAACCGAATACTGTTAGACTCAGTCAAAAACTATACAAAAAATTTCCTGAAACTGTATTTTATATATATGTATATATACATATATATAAAATACAGTTTCAGGAAATTTTTTGTATAGTTTTTGACTGAGTCTAACAGTATTCAATATATATTGCGATATATATATATATATATATATCGCAATATTTATAGCATATATTCCAATATCCAGCCGCCTGTCTCAGAGATTTTAGTTCCAACTTGCCTCAACACACCAGCAACGATGTCTCTAGAAAGCCTAGCTTGACTAGCCAGCCCAGGTGATAGAGGTAAAGTTATTTTATATTCGCACATTCGGACTTTCCCCTCAATAATGTGATTTCATAAAAGTATTATTTGTAAACTCTAAATGGCGAAATCAAATTAGCAGCCAATGACTGTCAAAGTACAACACAGTTCACTGTCAAATAAACAGTGTTAATGTTGTTTTCAAGTCACACTTGCCTGCTACTACCCAATATTCAAAGTAAAACGGTAAACAATACAGAGACTTCTAAATGAACGAATGTGTGAATATAAAACCAACTTCACCCTCTAGCCCAGGTGTGTCTGATTGGAGTTAGAACTAAACTTTGCAGAACACCAGCCCTCCAGGAACCGAGTTTGGGCACCCCTGTTATGTAAGTATGTAATGTATGGATGGATGGGTAGATAGATAGATAAATAGACGTTGAAAATATAGTAGTACAGTGTGGGAATAAGTTGATAATAACACTGTGGTATAATCTATATACTTATATACGTATCCATATACAAATATACTCATAGTGATGGAGCATATGTTACTAATCATACGTCACTGTCTACATCTCTGTCAGTCATCTCTGTGCTCCTACACTGAAAGCAAACTGAAGAGAAGCATATAGCAGTACCTGGTCAGCTGTTCAGCGTGTCCATCAGCAGGATTTTGAGCTTGTGCATCACTGTCGGCGTTGTTATTATTATTATTGACAGCTTCACCCTCGGCTTTACTGTATATCTGATCATCTGCCCGAGCAAACGGCGCTGAATTGGCTGTCAATATGATTAAACACACACAGACGACAACCGCGCGATTATTGACACCCATCATGCTCATAAATAATCAATACTACAAAGATAAAATCGCAATATTAAACTCATGTCGCCACAATCCATGTTTCGCAGAGCAAATTCATCGTCATCACTCTTTACCCGGAACTCATGGGAGATGTAGTTTCATTTTTCTTCTGGCTCTATTTAGCATCACTAACGAAAACAAAGTGAAGTTTCGGTGAGTTGATGCTTTTAGGATAATATTATATTATCCCAATGTCCACGATATGAATTTTGACCGCATATGTAGTAACAGGTTAAAATTAAGTAGTTAAATCAGAGCTACCGACGTCACACGACAGCAATGCTTGCTGGGAGTGGTAGTTCACATAAGGTGGGCGTGTCTACAATGCGCAAATCTGAGTTCGTCGGTTTAAAGTTAATTCTACATGACACAACCCCGCACATAACCCACATTTTGTATGCATAAGATGTACATTCAAGACAAACTGTGTTAAAGGTCCAGATTCCGCACACTAGGACTACAACACATGTTACAGCACGCTGTGTGGCTCAGCTGCCACTTTTAAATAAGTAAATTATGATCCCCTTTCTGCCTTTTAAAATTTTTTCTGTCAATTTTGCTGCTGTTTTATTATAGTTTATGTTATTTTTAGGCTCCATTCTACTCTAGTGGATATGAAGAGTTAGCAAAAATTTTCTAAGTGCCGTCTAAAATTTCCTTCGAAAATAATTTTTTTTCTCAGCCTCTTTTGTTTATGTTGAGTTATTTTACTATAAAAACCACGAAAAGGACTTATCCTTTGCCATAAAAGTGAAATTACTGAACCTACACACAGGAGCCTGATAAAATGCTCATTTTAGAAGACATTTTCAGAAGGCATTTAGAGGTTTTTGCATCTGAACTCATGTATAGAGTAGAGCAGATGGACACAAATGCCTACAGTATTACACATTTTACTATAGTATGGTTCAAAAATAGAGTGAAACCATATAACTAAATGATAATCATTTTATGTCTGAGATGGATGGATGGATGGATGGATGGATGGATGGATGGATGGATGGATGGATGGTTGGATGGATGTATGGATGGATGGATAGGTTGGTTGGTTGGTTGGTTGGTTGGTTGGTTGGTTGATTGATCGGGCGCCCTGTGATGATGCCCTGAGACTCAGAGTTGGGGTACTTTCTCTGTAATATTTTGGTAGACCGACTGGACTCCCCAATTCAGGAGGGAAGAGAGGGTTAAAGGTTTGTTAACGGAAAGCAAGGAAATAGAGTGCAGAAGGTGGGTTCGAGAGAACGAGAAGAACACTGCTGGACAGCTGGTCTGCCACAAATAAGTTTTAAAGAGGTGATTGGTTAAGGAGACAAAGTGGGGCGTGGTTCCATTGCTGAACCTTTGTCAACAAGTTAACAATAGATAGATAGATAGATAGATAGATAGATAGATAGATAGATAGATAGATGGATGGATGGATGGATGGATGGATGGATGGATGGATGGATGGATGGATGGATGGATGGATGGATGGATAGATAGATAGATAGATAGATAGATAGATAGATAGATAGATAGATAGATAGATAGATAGATAGATAGATAGATAGATAGATAGATAGATAGATAGATAGATAGATAGAGATCGATCGATCGATCGATCGATAGATAGATAGATAGATGGAAATATGGATAGATAGATAGATAGATAGATAGATAGATAGATAGATAGATAGATAGATAGATAGATAGATAGATAGATAGATAGATAGATAGATAGAGATCGATCGATCGATCGATAGATAGATAGATGGAAATATGGATAGATAGATAGATAGATAGATAGATAGATAGATAGATAGATAGATAGATAGATAGATAGATAGATAGATAGATAGATAGATAGATAGATAGATAGATAGATAGATAGATAGATAGATAGATAGATAGAGATCGATCGATCGATCGATCGATAGATAGATGGAAATATGGATAGATAGATAGATAGATAGATAGATAGATAGATAGATAGATAGATAGATAGATAGATAGATAGATAGATAGATAGATAGATAGATAGATAGATCGATCGATCGATCGATCGATCGATAGATCGATAGATAGATAGATCCATCTATCCATCCATCCATCATCTATCTATCTATCTGTCTGTCTGTCTGTCTGTCTGTCTGTCTATCTATCTATCTATCTATCACAATTATTATGCATTGAAATTAAACAATCAAATTAAGTTTAGTAACTTAATTAGTTTGTTTACATTCATTCATTCATTTTCCTTCGACTTAGTCCATTTATTTGTCTGGGGTCGCCACAGCGGAATGAACCGCCAACTTATCCAGCATATGTTTTACACAGGGGATGCCCTTCCAGCTGCAACTCAGTACTGGGAAACACCCATACACACTTAGTCACACACATACTACGGCCAATTTAGTTTATTCTGTTCCCCTATAGTGCGTGTCTTTGGACTGTGGGGGAAATCAAAGCACCTGGAGGAAACCCATGACAACAAACTCCAGAAATGCCAACTGACCCTAAGCTGGGACCTTCTGCTGCAAGGCGACAGTGCTAACCACTGAGCCACCGTGACGCCTGTTTAAAATCAGGCCATATAAATTGATTGCAACCCTAAAAAAATTGTAAATTCAATTAATTATTTATTATTTTGTTTTTAGTGTGGATAAATTATTCAGTGTTCATCAATACAATCATATGTTACTGAGTTAAACGTATGCTCTAAACTATATTAAAATATGATTAATGTAAGTTCAAATACATTTATGGTACCATAAAGATGACGCGATCGCCATCAAAATCCTCCTCGGATATCGATGCGCGCCTCTGTAGTTTACCTGTCTTTCTGTTTTACAGCCTCCCTGAGTAAACTGAACCATTAGTGCAGCGTTACGTAATCAAGTAAAGTCATGCATAGTAATTTTCACACACTCCCTCCTTTCCGACGGCCCCTTGAACATCGCTCAGATATGTGCGTAACGCGCAGTCCCATGCGCTCCCATTCATTAGCAGAGCGCAGGAGGGTGTGTGTGTGTGTGTGTGTATGCGAGAGTGTGTGTGCGCGCGCGCTCTCTCTGCCTGACCAATACATACAGACACACGGGATGGAGAAGATGATGAGGCTCTACTAAAACAACCAAACCTTTTAAATTTCGGGATCATATCTGGACTCTCTATTAACGGGACACGCATACAGAAGAATACCTGCGTCTCTCTGTCTATATAATGCCGACACATCTGAGATTTCGGAGAAGGTCATTCCTCGGACTGTTATTTCTCTTCTCGCTCTCCACATCTGCACTGTACTTCATCTACTCGGCTCCTGGAATAGGTAGGACACGTTTGGTTTTCGTGTTTATGAATCTATATGCTGCACATTATGTTTATATAGTCAGATTTAAAGACGGACAAATGGTAGCCTATTTACGAGAGCACTGCTTACATTTAGCATGGTTTATATAATGTCTCTGTCAGCGAGGTGTTTGTGTTTAACTGCCTTCATCATCATTATCATCAGCAGCATTATAATGTCGCTCTCTGTGGGCTGATGAATGCAGATGTCCGAGGTGTGGAGACCATTATTTGGGAACTAGCCTAATGTATATGGGGTTCTGGGCAAACATCAGCATTAGTGAGAGCTGTCCTGGCTGATTTCGCTAAGATATATTGATTAATTGTGTTAATATTGCACCTTTTTCGGCCTTTCCGGGTGCGCTCTCTCTGGTGCGCGGCGCAGTTTTGGTTAGACCCGCCCATGACGCGCCTTCCCGGCAGAGAGATGACCGTCCTGCGTCTGCTCCACGAATGAATATTTAATCACTGCCCGCTGACGTAGCTTGATCACTGGTAAAGGAATCCAGTCGTTAATTTTATTAAACCTTGTTAAACAAAATGTAAAGACAAAAGGTCAAGACAAAGGATATTTTTTATGTTGCTTTAACTTATTTATTTTCATTAAGTTAATCAGGTTCCAACTACACTGTAAAAATGCTGGGTTCCACACAACTCCTTCATGTTAACACAAATTGATTAAGTCTACTTGATTTGGACATAAAACAATTAAGTTGTGCAAAAAAAAACCTCAATAATTATGTTGATTTTGCTCATTTTAAATTAGTAGTTTGAACAAGCCGCACGTTGTTGCTTTGAGTTTACTTTTTTAAAAGTTATACAAAGTTTAACTTAATATTTATTGATTTATGCAAGTTGATATGACTAGAAAAGTTCATTTGATTCAACTTAAAAAAAAATTAATCCAGCAAGAAGTTGTTGTTGTTTTTACAGTGTTATAAATGTGGATATTTGAAGGACAATTTAAAAGCATTTTATATGAATAACAATTAAATAAACATATTTTAAACATCAATAAATATAATTTATTAATAAATATTATCTTAAACATGTTCAAAATATGTTTATATTATCAAATATAATGGGAAAAAATAATTGCATGACATAAAATTACATATTTTGAATTATTATGAGATTTATACACTCTCACAAATAAAGGTACAGGAGCTGTCACTGGGGCAGTAACTTTTCAAAAGGTACATATTTGTACCTAAAGGGTCCATAATGATACCTCAAAGGGACATTTTCGGTACATTTGGGCACTAATATGCACCTTTGAGGAACCACTGTGGACTCTTTGGGTACAAATATGTATCTTTTGAAAAGGTACTGCCCCTGTGACAGCTCCTGTACCTTTTATTTCTGAGAGCGTAAGCTGTAAACACAATAAAGGAAAATGGATTTACAGTTGTTAGCATTAGTTACATTAACCAACAATGAAGAATGTGCTCCTTCTACATCGCATATAATAATTTGACTTAATGATAATGCTATAAAATAATATGTTATTAAATGCAAAAGCATGGCAAAAGTGAAAAAGAAGGTTGCTGTTTCGAGTCCCGGCTGGGTCAGTTGGGATTTATATATGGAGTTTGCATGTTTTCCCCGTGTTTGTGTTGGTTTCTTCCGGGTGCTCCGGTTTTCCCCACAAGTCCAAAGACATGTGGTATAGGTGAATTGGGTAAGCTAAATTGTCCGTAGTGTATGAGTGAATGAGAGTGTATGGGTGTTTCCCAGTGATGGGTTGCAGCTGGATGGGCACCTGCTGCTTAAAACACATGCTGGATAAGTTGGTGATTCATTCCACTGTGGCGACCCTAGATTAATAAAGGAACTAAGCCAAAAACAAAATGAATTAATGTGGATATTTGAAGGATTTCCCAAGCATTTTATGTGGATAAAAATCAAATTTAAATATTATAATCATCAATAAATATCATATAGACCATTTTTAGGGATGTAAACAAAAATATCAACAAATATTATCTTAAAAATATTCCAAATATAAAATATAGTGAATAAAAAAATAACAGCATGAAATAAATTACATATTTAGATGTATTATTTATTGTATACGGTGTAACCTGATTTAATGATCACTTATACAATATATAATACATTACAATCATAAAAACTTATAGTTATGACTGTTCATTTTATTAAAACATGAAATAAAAATGTATTTTCTATGAATATGAACTAAAAAAAAATGTAATTATTTCGCATAAATACTTCGCTAAAATTATCACAAATACTTTAAAATATAACAGAAGCACAGGCACGCACACAGGGATTCCCCATCATGACTTTTTCATTTAAAGCCAACTCATGTGTACAGCGTTTCCTTATTCTGCATTTGTGTAAATGTAAATGTGCTCAATTATTAATGGAGACCCTTTAGAAAGGACTTTTTTTTTCTTTCCTCCTTCAGCTATTTCCTTTTATAGCATGTATATGTGTGAAAAGAACAAGCACCAGTAATTCTAGGATGTTAATAATGAATGGAAAGTTGTGCATTTGACTCGGCAATTGTTGTGCATCCCAAATGGAGGTGATTGACATGTGGAGAGAGAAACGGGAACGCTCACTTCTGGTGGATGTCTCTGTTTAAACACAGGAAACTTCAGCTGTTTCTGGTAATTGTGGCTCATATTTTTGACATACACTGAAAAACATGATTTATTGAATTTACTAAAGGGTAGTGGTTTCAAACTATTTATGTGGGCCGAAATGGACAAACGAATTCAATTTAGTAATGTCCAACTTAATATGTTTGTTTAAATTCAGCCCATATACATTTTTAGTAACCACTTACCTTTAAAATAATTGAGTAAATCCAATGTTTTTTATTAGTGTATTTTCGGACATTAAAATGTAATCTCTCTCTCTCTCTCTCTCTCTCTCTCTCTCTCTCTCTCTCTCTCTCTCTCTTTCTCTCTCTCTTTCTCTCTCTCTCTCTCTCTCTCTCTCTCTCTTTCAAATAGCCTGTTAGTTTTTCTGTTTATATTTATATTGTGGTCGAAATCTACACTATAAAGCATTTTTTTTTTCCTGCTTGTTCAAACTACTTATTTAAAATAAGCTAAAACGACACAATTCTTAAGGTTTTTGGGGGATAACTTAATTGTTTTTTGTTCCGTGAACTTAAAATTGTAAAAACCATTAAGTTAACTTAATCAATTTGCATTGAGATGAAATGAAGGAATTGAATGGAACCCTGCATTCAATAAAGTGTATTTTAAAAGGGATAGTTCTGCAAAATTGATCAGTTCTGTCAGTGTTGTCACTCTTATGTGGTTCAATTAAATTAATTGGTAATTAATAAACATCTTTAAGTACTTTATTAGGCTTGAAAAGTTAAGTTGCGTAGACACTTTTCATGAATGTGCTATAATAATTAAAGAATATTAAAAGGGTCATCAAAGAAACACTCGTTCATTCAAATGGTTTTGGAGTAACATGCTATTGAACAAATGATGGCAGAGTGTTGTAATACAAATGAATGAGCAAGATACCCTTATGTCTCAAGAAAAACGTATTCTCTTAAGTTGCATTTAATGTTTTAACGCATGCACAATAAGCTTTTTTCACTTTCAAAAATAATTACTAAGCTTGCCAAATCTTGAGATTAGAAATATTATTTTTTTTACCGTAGCTCTAGTGCAGGGGTTCCCAAACTTTTCAGCCCGCGACCCCCTAAAATAACAATGCCAGTGACTCGTGACCCCCAATATCCTCTGAGGTGGTTATAAATACAGAAACCTTGCATGCAATGACGCAGACAAACCAATTAAATTTGTGTCAGTGCTTTAAATGTGCCAGAAAGTATAACCTGATGTTATAAAATCAAAATGTACTGACTCTATTGCTGCCTTTAATATAATGTAATTACCCCAGGGGTTGCAATCCAATGGAACTAGTAACTATAAGCTACTATAGTAACTATATAATATATAGTAACTATAAACAACTATTTTTATTTTCAGCATAGTTATGGATAAAATATGTTAATTCTTATGGTTTAATAAAAATAAATAGATTTTTGGAAATCACCGGGCGACCCCCCTTCATTGCCCCGTGACCCCTCGGGGGGTCCCGACCCCCACTTTGAGAACCACTGCTCTAGCGTAACAAAATAAATAGGTGAAAAAAAAGAGTAAAAACTATTATAGAAGGAAACATCAACTGTTTCTTGTAATTGTGGGTCATATTTTTAGCATATTTTTAGGGCATTAAAATATAAACTTTCTTTCGGAAACGTCACACGGTAGTGTCACTTTCAAATAGCCTGCTAGTTCACCTGTTTATCCGCTTGTTAAGTGTGACGTCACGCGAAGCTGCTTCCGGGTCCAAGCGCTCTATTCAACTGAATGGGGAGAATCGTGAAATGGTAATAATAAACGTTTACAAATCGATTTAAGGCTTTCGAAAATGTCCATGCCTAATATCCAATGGCCAGAAAGTGATTCCTTTTTTATAAATTGTTACATTTTTGGTGTTTATGCAGCAAGCCCAGAGATTGTTGTGTACACTATGATTTTATATAAAATTAACTTTAATGTGTGATATGAATAAAACGTGATTATAAACGAATGATTTCTCCACTCAAATGAATGGCGTATTGGACTGGAAACAGTATTAAATATGTCACCACTTAACAAGTGAATAGGAAGGGATAGTTCTCTGAAATCGATCAGTTCTGTCAGTGTTGTCAGTTTCATGTGTTTCCAAACGTCTTTAAGAACTTTATCAGGCTTGAATAGTTGTGCAGACTTTTCATGAATGGGCTATAATAATGAGGGGATGTGGAAAGGATCTTCAAAGAAACACACGTTCATTCATATGGTTTTGGTGTAACATGCTATTGAACAAATGATAGCAGAGATTCATTCTTCAAATGAATGAGCAATAGGCTTTGGTAAAATTTCTATACCCTTACGATTCAATGAAAGTTGCATTTAATGTTTCAACGTATGAACA